TTTGAAATGGAGAATCAATATGTTAACAAATGGTATGCATTAATTATAATACATAATAAGGTGAAACATGGCAAAAGTAAAATAAAATTTGCAATAACTATAAGGCTTAATATGGTGACCCATGTTAAAAGGAGATAAAAAATTACTCTTTTATTAGATTCTAGACGGTTAAAATGTAAATATGTATATTATATATATTCCTTTGTAATCACGTTAACACACAATAATACAATTCAATCTTTTAGAAAGTATATTTTTATATAAATTCTTATTTTAGTTGTTGTAAATCGTATTTAGTAAATAACTAGTTAAGAGACCCGTGCATTGCACATGGTCAGATTATTATTATTATTATTATTATTATTATTATTATTATTATTATTATTATTATTATTATTATTATTATTAGTTTATAACCCGTGGGAACCACGGTTATAAAATTAATTAAAATTTTATAATAAAAATTTATAATTATTAATCAATTATTTTAAATAAATCATTTTAAATAAATTATTTATTAAAAGATATATCAAAAATTTAAAGTTATTATGACTTCAAGTTTAACATATAATTTGAAAATGTAAATTTGAATTTTGAAATGAGTTGTCTAATATATGTACATGACACATGACATAATATTAAATGAGAAGTGTATTAGAGTAACACTTGGCAAAAGGAGGTTAAAACTATTCATTTATTAGAATAGGGATATATATATATATATATATATATATATATATATATATATATATATATATATATATCTTCTTCTCTTCTAATAAAAGACTCTTTAAACTGCCACTTGTCATTTTTGTAGATACACATTTTGCCACGTGTCAGTTTTTCTAAACAATCACCTTGTGATTTTCCCGCTTAAACTTTCTTTGACATCTATCTATTCCTAATCTGGACCGAATCGCATTCCAAATTTAGTAACAACGACTTTACAACTACGAAGCGAACTATATGAGGAGAAATCAATTTCAAATTATTCCTCCTATCTCATCTACGCTCCATATATCTACCCATATTTAGGGTTTTTATTTGATTCGATTTCACCGTTGCAACTATTTTTGAAAATAACATAATGGAGTTCGATTACATATGATTCTTTTCCAATGACCTTCTTCCTTATTGTCGCAACGAAGCTTCAAACGATATTAACTAGACATCTACGATGAAAATACATTGGGTTTTGGAAACACTGTAAGTTTTTCTTACTTTTGCTTGATTGAATTTAATCATTTTTCTTTTACATTCTGTCAATAACTTGGTTGGAGCTGGTGCTTCTAATGATGAATATATGATTTGTCTAATATTGGAAAATATCGCAAGTCTTTTTAAACATGCAATCTTTGGAAGTGGATATTGGTGTTGCAAATAAAGTTAGACTCATTTTATAGATTAAACCATGAAGCTTAAGGAGTATGTCCAATATTTATAGGCTAAAATCAATGAATTAAAGGTAAACATTTTAAAATATGTGATTTTTTATTTATTTATTTAATACTTTGCAAATGAGTGATGGTCCGCTGGCATGAAGGAAAACGCTCATACTTATGTTGTTATTTTTGTTCAGTCAATATTAATTTTGACTATTCTGCCAATCTTCTTGATTTGGATCTAGAAAGTCCTGATCGCTTTTGTTGGAAACTATATTTTGCATCATATTTTATATCTTTTTATCAACAATTTTTATTTGTTAATTGATAGGGTTTGTTGGTTGGGAGAACTTTAATTGTATATTGGGGTTTGTTTAAAATTATTTGTTAATTATTAGTAGTCGATATTTTATTAGGTTTGTTAAAAAGCAAAATTTAATTTGTTAATTTTTGTTAATCAGAGAATCTAAATTTAATTTGAGGCCTGTTGATTGTGTTTCTATTCATTTGTGTGTTTGGATCATGCGTGTAGATCTAAGACAAGATTCATAAAGAATAGAAAATAATTTTTTCAACAAGCTAACCTATGGAGGACAAAATTTCAATAAATCAAACTAACAGAGGACATTATTCCAAGAAATTATAATGGAATGGTGGCAGTTCCAACAATAGACAAGAAATACATTTTTTGTCATTTATGAGAGGTTTGATTGCCATTTAGCATGACTGGTAACAAAAAAAAATGTTTTTTTATTTTATTTAACACATCATACTCTTATAAAAAATGAAGGTTTTCTTTATTTTTTTTATTTATTTTAATTTTTATAGGTGTGAAGCCTTCTCAACATATCTTGGGACAAATGACCTAATTTATGCTCATGTTCTTTTCCACTTGTACAAAGACAAGTAAGTTGCTTTCTAAGTTGGAGAATGGAAATAGCAACATACTTGACTTACTTTTCTTTTTATACATAATCTAAGTAGGTTGCTATTTTCGTGTAATCTTTTGGAGTTTTTAATGGAAGTACATACTTGCAGGTGTAACTATGCAGACATTCTTCTAGAAATGGGTAGGATTTTAGGACCTGAAGGTACTGTAATATCAGTGGTAATGAGATTGAAGTGATTAAGGTGAAAAAGATTATTTCTGGAATAACATGGCACAGAAAAATTATGATCATGAAAATGGTCCACTTATTTTCATAAAAGATGTTATTTGTAGTCAAACAATGTTAGGTTGCAGGTGAAAATAACTCACCTTCCTCTAGATGAAAATAATAATTTTTGTTTTAAGGTTTTTGAGAAAGTAATGAATATTATTGGAGGGGTGGTGAACAATGATTATCAGTTGACTTTCACATAGTAGGGATTTAAATTTAGGCCGAAACACCATGTTTTTTTTGGTATTCACATTACATATTTTGTTTATGTAGTTTCTCGGTTTGGTCTTCAAAGCTAACATAATGTAATAGTGTAAACAACAATTTTTGATGCTATTTATTTATGGGTAGTTTTACATTTATCTCACTCAGTACTTGCTTTTTACAGAACCTCTTAAATTTTATATATGCTTCTCCAAATTCGATTATTTTGACCGCTAAATCAAAAATTACAACCGTCACCCAACACACCATAAGATCAAATAGAGAAAACAAAGAACGTTTTCATGTATTTTATACACATGATTACATTCTTTAAAGAATTAAAAAAGATAACTCGATTATAAGATATATGGTTTGAATTTTGTTATTTTTTGGTAACTAGCTAAAAATAAACAAATGCAAGTTTTACTTTCAAATAAACAATAAGCAGTAACTACCACAAAGGTAAATGATTTGAAAATAACAATTAATATGTAAAAGTATCAATTTATATTTATAGTTCAACTATTTAAGGTCATTATTTCTAATATCAAGCCTTAGGTCAAAGCAAAGTTTGACAATTTACAGGGGACACTAAGAATTATATTAGAATATTAGTCCTTCAATTACATTCAAATATTCCTTTGATTGGGATATATTTACTTTGGTTTAGTAGGACTTTCAATTAAGGTTTTTTTGAAAGAAAATTTAACTGTTTGTTCTTAGACTCCAATGATGGAGCTTTAATCGTCTTTGTAATTGATTATCTCATTTGTCATAATAAGTTCGTCAAATCTATGTTAGCAACTTTTTTATGTGACAATAAAGATTACCAAAGATGGTTTTCCATTCACTTTTAATATTTTATAAAGTATTATAATATTTTATGTTAATGAGAGGGTTACATAACATATAACTTATTTTATTATTTATAGCTTATCCATATCAGTATAAGTCTTATATAATATTGTAATACTATAATTATAACATAAAATGTAAAATATAAAACATATTTATTGTATATAAAGTCATCTATTAAGTTGTATAATGTTAAATAATTTTTTTTATTATAAACATGAAATGATATCTTTTGAAAAGGATTTTACATAGTTTTGGTTTTTTTATGTAGGAAGCGAAAGTAGAATTCTAACGTGCACAAGAAATGAAATTACAATACCATTGCATATTTTTATATTAATAAAAAGTTGCAATAAATAGAAGTACAATACTATTAACAAAAATTGAAGTAAATATGATTAACTAAATTGTGGTTATTTATGATTAAAAATATCTTTTTTATTATGTTTATGTTTATGTTATTTAAATTTATCAACCCGTATAGTACACGGGTTATAACCTAGATAATATATATTTTATTCATTTTTTGTCATTTGTCATCATATTAGGCTTCCTAATTAATGCATACCACTTGTCAATTTATTAATTCTCAATTTCAAATAAATTTCTCACTCTAATTAAATTAAATTAATAACATTATAATAAAATTAAAATAAAATTAATACAAATTATACGTGATATAATATTTCGTATATTTATTTAAATTAACGATTATAATTTTATATAACTAAAAAAATATTTTAATTAATAATTTATTTAAAATAATTAATTAATAATTTTTGAATTCTCACTAAAAAAGTTTAATTAATTTTGTAACCGTGGTCTCCACGGGTTATAAACTAGTATATATATATATAAATTAACGTCTAGTATCCCCCACAAGTTAAAATCGGGGAGTGACCTCTAGCTTGGACCTCAAAAAGAGAAATCGAAGTGAAGGTAGAGGGTTGGTAAACACATCTGTGATCTGATCATTTGTGGAGATAAAATGAACCGATAGTTGTCCTTGGCCAATTTTTTCCCGAACAAAGTGTAAATCAACCTCAACATATTTAGTGCGTGCGTGAAAAACAGGATTTGATTTTTGTGTATCTGACCCACCAAAAATCAACAAAATAATAATAATAATAATAAACATGTCTAACGCACGAGTCTCTTCACTACTTATTCACTAAATACGATTTACAGTAACTAAGGTTAGAATTTATATAATAAATACGTTATACATTTTGTCAATTATTAATTAAACACCAAAGTAGTACGTAGTTAGAATTTATATAATAAATACGTTGTACATTTTATCAATTATTAATTAAATACCAAAGTAGTACGTTTAATTTATACTTGGAATAAATATTATACATCAAGAATGGTAGAAACAAAATATATAAATGCAAAGCTATTTAGTCCGTATCTCGATACCCTCCACGATAAGACCAGTACTCTTCCAACACTTAACCTCTTTAAACGCCATCTCAACTTCCCCATAATCACCTTGCTTGTACTCGAATTCTCCCAACTTAATCTCCATCCACCCATCCATTCTCCTATAAGGAAACACATAGTTTTCTTCCCATGTTTCCCTAGCCTTTGGTCTTTGAAGATAAACATTTTTAGTTTCTATTTTTCTCCCACCAAAAGTTATGCTTGAATTCCCATGCACATCAAGTCCGGTGGAATCCTCGGTAGTTCGGAAGACAAGATACGCTATATATATACTCTTTTCTGACAGCTTCACAACTGCTATTTTGCCTTTGATTTCAAGCCACCATACTCCTCTAAGTATCCACACCTTCGGGAACCTACACAGATGACAACGTATATGAAAGCCAAATGCCCTATAATAACATACAATGTAAACCGGACAATTCGTGTCATGAAAACGTGTCAGCCACGGATTTGACACGATACGATTACACAATGAGAAATAAGCTTTATTTCATTTTTTAAGATGTATTCGTGTCGTGTCGTGTCTCTCACAGATTCATGTCTTCACGTCTGAAATTGTCAGGTCTAATACAATTAATGTGACCATAAAGAGAGAAAAAGAGAGACCTTGATTGAGTTATGTGTCCCCAATCCCAATATCGAGTGTCATTTTGCCATGTAATTAATAGATCCTTTGCCGCCAAAATATAAACAATTTTTTCATTCTCCTGTTTGTCAATTTGAAAGCACAGTTTATGGAATAATTATGAGGCCAAAATTTAGCAGAAGTTGTTTAACAATTATATTAAAAAAAACTATAGTTTCCTTACGTATCATTAGATATGAACAACAACATGATATATACCCATAATATGTAGACGTATTAGAGTCAAACTAGAACAAATCCATTCTTTTATTGAAAATATATTGTTATAGAAAAAATTAGAAGCATAGTTAAAAAATAGCCAATAACTTATCATATTATATAATCCATGCATGATAGTTTTCGTTCTTGCAGTGAAAATATGTTTCCTTAAAAATATGGAATAAAATACTTACTTGAATACGAAGTGCTTCCTGGATCGCCTCGATAATCTATCTCTTGTAGGGCGTTTCTTTATGTTAAAGTTAATGCACTCATGTGCAATATCATTAAATTTTTGAAAAGAACTCATCTAAATATGCTCTTTGATAGCAGAATCTATCAACTTGTCAAGTCCATCAACAAATTTATTGTCGTCATAATAGCTTCAGACTATGTGGATCAAAGATTGCTGTTTCGTATCTTTAAAGGGCCTAGTATTATAAGCCAATATTCCACTTGACATTTCAAACATTACCACTCCAAATGAGTATATTTCGGACTCTTTAGAGAGCATACCTCGTTCATTGTATATTGGATCCATGTAAAACCTCGTTCCAGCAGCTCTTGTAGGGACATGGGTATCTCGTTGATTTCTTGGACATAATCTTGACAAACCAAAATCACATATTTTGGCTTCCATATTATCATCTAACAAAATATTTGCGCTCTTCACATCTCTATGAATTACTCTCCTATGCTCCCAACACCAGAGTGTAGGTACTTTATCCCTCTTGCTACCCCCAAACAAATCTTCAGACGTTGTTCCCATGTTAGGTGGAGCCTCTTATTTTTGCCTTGGAGGTGATGATCGAGGCTTCCGTTAGACCATCTCCGATGCACTGAACTCATATGAGTTCAATGGATTGACATATGTACATTCCACTCATTATACAACTTTACTCATTAAACTCTACACTTCATTAAACTCTATACAATTTAATGGATTGTCACATCATTTATCATTTTCTTTTTATTTATTATTATTTTTAAAAAATTAATTAGCATGAAATTAAAAATTCAAAACTACAATTAAAATTAACATTAATTAAAATTTTAAATTATATATATATGTGTGTGTGTATGTGTGTGTGTGGAGAGAGAGAATATAGAATTCAATGGGGATTGAACTCCCCATTCCATTGAATCGTACTCATTTTTCTACAATGGAAATTTTTAGTTTAATGAGATTAAACTCCCCATTAAACCCTTCATTGAACTCCCATAGGAGATGGCCTTAGTAGCATACTCGTAAACTACAATTTTCTCATTTGCATCATTATAGTAACCAACGAATGGGATGATGTTCGGATGGTTGAAATTTGAAACCATCTTGACTTCATTATTGAACTCGATGTCTCCTTGACATCCATTAGGATTAAGGCGTTTGATGGCTACTAGGCGGTTTTTCCATTGTTCGGAGAGTTGTCCTCTGTAGACCATACCAAATCCACCATCTCCGATCAGCTTTTCTGAACTGAAGTGTTTTGTGGCCCGAATGATATCCTCTAGCAGAATTCGACGTTTTTCTAGTTCTAAATTGTTTTTTATACGGGTGATTATGTATGGTTAAGGTGGCAGCTGATTTTCTATGAATATATACGGAACCAAATTTGCTTTGGAGTCGTGTTATAAACTGGAATTTGCTATATTGCTACTTTTTGTGATTATCTATTAGTCACAGTAAATTATGCAAAGAGTAAATTATGCAAATGGTCACGGTAATTTGAGGTAATATGCATGTTCTCTAATTTTTTTTTAACTCAAGAGTCCTTATGGTATGTTTTTGTTCCATTCTTGTTCCCCAGCACACATTAAATGACAATTAATGATATATTTGTTATTTTATTAATTATTTTTTTATTATTTCACTTATTATTAAATAATATAAATTACTAACATATTGTTGGAAAAGGGATCCACCCCACTTTGTCCTCTTCCGGTTCCCGGAACCATCTGTGGTCACCATCTCATTTCAATTCCCGACACCAATTTTGGTCACCACATACACAACCCATAAAAATCGCCCAAAACTCAACAAAAAGCTACCTCACAAAGTACATCTAAAATCGACACAAATAACTCATCTCCAAAACAAAGTCAAGCGTGAAATTTAAAAACCAAACCCATAATCAAGTCAAACTTAAATCCAAAACTAAAATCTCTGATGCATAAATCGAAATCATAGATGAAAAAAATCTCAAATACAAATTCACATGTAAACCGATTAACAAAAACATCCCCATGTGCATTTTTTTAATATGAAACTAAAATTTCCATTTAGAAGTTAATTGTTTAGTTATCATCATACAACGAATGAGAAGGCAAACGGACAACAAGTTGCACCGCGTAGAATCTTTCCCCCAAACGCATTTGCACATATCATATACAGGTCGTCCAAAATGGTGGGAGATAGTGACGATCATCCATGGACCATCTTTTAAAGGCGCCAAAATTTTTTATAAACTTTATTAATTATCGATCATGAAAAGATAATTAATAATTTTGCATCTCAAAAAGCTAGAAGAAATATTTTTCTTTAAATATATAGATTTTTTGTAATAAAAAATGTTACATTTAGAAGCTAGTATAAATAATTTTCTTTTGGTTATTAAGTTGTCATAAAAAAGGTACTGAAATTTATGAAATTTAAGGGCCATTTTCACCCCTCGTCCTGGGCTTAAAATATGTTTGGAACGACCTTGATCATATAAGAATTCAATCGATTAATGTTCGACTCTCGGAGTCCAGTTTCTCTACAAGCTTAAACTGTAAATATTCGATCCGACAAGATTCAACAAGGAAGTCGTTCATCCTCGAAGGCGAGCCAAGCCCAAGTTATTTCATCGCCGCATTTGATTTTCTTACCATCGCTTAAAGCTTCTCATTTTTTCCCGATCTTCGAGTCTATTTCCAGGTTTACAAGCATGGGGTTGGATGAATGGCCTTGGCGTTTAGCTTTTTCTTCATATGTTGTATGTTCACATAGTGCCCCGACGATTCAGATTTCGTGATGTGATGCGAGACAAGAGAGAGAGAGAGCAAGAGAGGGGGTTTCAAAGCTAATGAGTGTGGGGCCTACTTAATTTTTAAAATTTATTAATAATAATTAACAAATACTAAATAAACAAATAAAAAGTTAATGGTAATATATAAAAAGGTAATGGTAATATATTCATTATATGTCATTGGGACCAAGGATAAAAACAAAAACAAACTATAGAATATAAAAAATAAATTAGCTACCAAACTAGCAAATTACACAAAGTAGACGGACTATTCGCATAACACAATACCTTTGAAAATACTAGTTGAATTTTAAATCAGAAAAACAAAGCGTGTCAGTGTGTGTGGTCCACCATTAAAGTGACAAAAGAAACCCCAAATATCTATTATGATGAAATTTTTTTTTCTCAAAGTACTGTGTAATTAGAAAATTCAGTCGGAGACGACTAGTCAAAGGTAATTTGTATTCTAGAGATTTCTTTTTTGTTTGTAAACAACAGTATTATAGAAGAATATGCGAATGTTCGCGCAATGCACAGGAGAAAAACTTTGTTGTCAAAATTAATCCATTTATTGTCATTAATGATGTCAACTATTAATTCTTATACTAAAGTTAAAAAAAAAAAGTTCCTATAACTTATTGACATTATCTTCAAATATATTATTAAAAAATACACGTTATAAAGTTGAAATTTGAAAATTTTAACGAAATTTTAAAAACAATGCAAACATGAAGTACAAATCAAGATTACTCAAGATAAGTATTAATCTCAAAACACACTATTTTAATAGTCTTAAGCTATGGGTTGTAAGTAAATAACATCATCTATAATTTTCGATTTAATATTATTTCTAATTTTCTTTATAATTAAATGATATAAATGTTCCTATTTTAAACATTTTTGATTTTCCTCGTAACAACTTTTTTATATACAAACCACTCTTTCGAAGATAATTTAATTTTTAAATCTACAATATTTAGTTATATGAAATTTTGATATAATGTTTTCTTCAATAATTTTTGTTTTTATTTAGTATAATACTGAGTCTAAAATAATAGTCTAAACATATTTTTAATTTCTTTGACAAATGATATCATTTTAAATTAACAATTTAAGTATATTTTATTAAAAAGATAAAATTGTAAGAATGGTCCTTATGGTATGACAAAACTAGTAAGTTTTGTCCAAACAAATTTGGACTCACAAGAGTGATCCAAAAGTTTTATTTTGTTACGAGTTTGGTCAAATTTGGTTTGGTTCTTTATAAAAGACAATATTGTAAAAATGGTCCATATAGTTTGTCAATTTCTTTAGGTAAAGTCAAAAAAAAAAAATTATTAGCAAAAAATGTCTCTATTTGGTGGTTTTGTTATTGTTTGGTCCCTACTGCATTAACTTTAACAGGATGCCTATTAACTTTGGTCAATTAAGGGATTTGCCCCTGTAACCATTTATGTAGTTTTATATTTTTACCAAACTACAATGACCAATTATACAATTATTCTTTTCATTTTATTGAATTAATATATATTAATTCTTTTAAGACTAAACTGCCCAAATGGTCCCTGTGGTTTCCTCAAAATTGCCATTTTGTCCAAAAAAGTTTGGACTAGCACTAGAGGTCTAACATTTTCATTTTGTTGCTTGTTTGGTCCAATCTATTTTTTTTTTTTCAAAATGATAGATTTGCCCTTGTTAGTATGATTTTCTCTTTTTGTTAATTGTTTTCCTGATTTTCAAATTAAAAAAAAAACATAAATTTCTCTCTCTCTCTCTCTCTCTCTCTCTCTCTCTCTCTCTTTCTTCTTCTTCTTATTCTTCTTCATTTTATGGTAAAAACGCCACCGGAGGTGGATGCATTTCCGGTGAACATCAAGAACAGCTCCACTGGCGAGCCAAGGGGCTGCCATTGCCACTACCAACACCTCCCTCACCACTAATTGTTGCTTCCGTTAATGCTTCCTTCTTCTCAGATCAACACAGGATCGAAGACCTCCATCCTCTTTTACGTTTTGCTGCCGATCACAACAGAAAGCGAATGAAGGCTCCGAGGATAGCCTTCTGCTAGCACCCCTCCTTGTGACTGTGTAACTACCACAGATGAACCACCATAGGACCAAGTTTCTTTGTTGCCCTCATGATTCTTTTCTGCTTTCGTTCAAGTTCTTTCTTCCCCGATCAGACAACGACCGGAGAAACCCATTCCCAACCCTCCTCCTCATCCCCTTTATACGGACGATCACCACCTACATACATCCCTCTCATTCTGTTGGTGCTTCCAGTTGGGTCCCTCTTTAAAACAAAGGTAGAGGACTGAAGTCCTTATTCCTCCTTAGTGTGTTGTGGACCGATTGGATCAGAATAAGAAAAAAGATGATGGCAGTTTCAAGATGAATAGAACGCAAGCCTTAGCACCGTCCATGCCGTCTCTCGACCCTCCTGGCTCCATCAAATAATCCTCAGGTGAGCTTCAGCTTTAGAGGATGCCACCATTCTCATTTCCTAAACCCTAGGGTTTTTAGAGGTTGTTGTCGCTTCAATCCCTAGCTTCGACCTATGTGTCACAGCCTTGAACTTTTAGGATTAGGGTTTTGCTACCAGAGCTTCGATCTGGTGGCGTTCATCTTTTCTATCGGTGGTGTTCACGATTTCTGGCGAGAGTAAAGCTTGGGTGAGGGAGTAAGGGTGGTAACGTTCTCTCTCTCTCTCTTTCTCTCTCTCTCTCTCTCTCTCTCTCTCTCTATATATATATATATATATAATA